GTTTCCTCTGCACCGGCGGATGGTGGTGTGGAGCCCTGTTGCTGTGCAGCACCATATCTGTAGTTGAGTTAAGGGCAGATTATACTTCTGCAACCACACACCTCAAATGCCGCTTGGGTCTGCTCGCAAACCAGTTTTGCTGGTATGCGTCTGCACCGTTTGTCTGGAATTTCTAGGGACACCTAGCAGTTTCACTCCAAAGCGCAAGGGGGGAACTATTTGGGAACATATGAGAACATCGGTGGATCGCACCGAAATGAGAAGGACGACCACACAGACAGCCGGAAAGGCATGCCAAGGACCAATTACAGCTGTTTTTTGTCTGCGTACTTCCGCTTGAGGTCTCTCTTCATCAGCAGTGCTATCTTTCTCCCTGCCAGCCCCCAGATCAGCTTCTCTGATTGGTTGACGTGGAACATCGAGCAGCAAAAGTTCAATTTTTCCATCTCTAGCAGCGCGTCCCACACCTCAGATGCTCAGAAGTTCATGAGTCGATGCATCAAGACGCGCTGCTCCTGCTGCTCGAAACGCGCTGCAGGACCTTTTGCTGCACCTGAATTCGCGTCAACCATTGACTTTCCATGTAAACTAGCTGCTTCTGCTGCCTCTATCGCATGCGGTCTGAATGTAGCATAAGAGGAACCTGCTGTAGCCCCACTGAAGACCTCTTTACATTCCTCTCTAGATTCTTCTTCCATATTATTAAACTCACCAAAATGCTGACTCTCATTGTTTTAGTCTGTGAACCCAACTTTAGCCATGTTTGTTATTCTAGCCATGCCAATGAGAATTGGCATGGCTAGAATAACAAACAGCAGTGCTACCCAGTGGGTAGCACTGCTGCCCTGCGGCAAGAAGGTTCTGGGTTCGATTCCCGGCCCAGGGTCTTTCTGCATTGAGTTTGCATGTTCTCCCTGCATGCGTGGGTTCTCTCTGGGTACTCTGGCTTCCTCCAAAAAACAGTCCAAAAACATGACCGTTAGGTTTATGGCTTGTCTAAATTCTCCTCAGGTGTGAGTGTGTTTGTCCCGCTTGTCTCTGTGTTGCCCTGTGATGGACTAGCGACCTGTCCAGGGTGTATACGCCGCCTCTCACCCATTGACAGCCAGAGATAGGCATCAGCCCCCCTCGCGACCCCACTTGGAATTAAGTGTGTTAGAAGATGGATGAATGGAATAGTCCAGTATTTAAAATTTTATCTTTTTGGTTTTTTTCCTGATACATCCTTTTTATTTCCAATGCGATGCTGATATTGACCTGATGCAATTAAACCTACTTTTATTGCTTCTTTTATATTGTGGCATGTAGGGGTGTGCAAAATAATCGTGATGATGATGCATCGTGATTCTAATTTTCGTGATCTACTGCATCGATTCTTGATGCCAAGAATCGATTATTAATTTTAAAAAATGAATAAATAAAATTGCATGAATGGTTGGCGAACATCAGCCAAAAACAAATGTAATACNTGGAGGACAAAAGAACATTTGATGGGCGGTTGAGTTGAAGACCATATTTTTTACAATGATGCAAACTCGATCCCAGAGATTATAGTTTTTTGAAGGAGCGATAGGATGAGACAGAGGATTTCTCTCTTCCATCTTCACCAGAGACAGAGAAAACAGGGGTAAGAGAGGAAGGCTAAGCCAACACCATACAATTTCAAGAAAATAATGTATGTTATATATAAACAGCAATATAACACATCTATTTCTACAGCTCTCGGGTTAAAAGGTTCTTTATGGTGCTGTCCCAAACTGTGACCTGCACAAATTCTTCACTTCCTGATTGTAAAACCAGATATTTGAAATTTGTTTCCCTTTAATATGCAGACCCAACAAAAGTGGATGCTGGTAAGGAAGCAGGATGCAGAAAAAACAGTCTCATGACCATATGGTTTGGATTTAATCACTTTCTTTGTGTGTACAAAACCAAAGAGAAGACAATAACGGAACAAAATGAATGAGGAGGCAACCTGGGATCCTGAAAGCTAGACTGAAAAGGACATTGAAAATGTATTTCCATAGTCTGCATTTACGTTACAAGCCTTTTAAATTATATTATATTATATACAGTACATTATGTGTTTTTTTTGTTTGTTTTTTGTTGAATTTAAGCAGTGTTAAATAGTCTCAGGTCGGCATTTGTTTGATGCAACCAAGACATGCAGATCTTCCTCATTTTTTGTTGTTATATTTTCTAAACACAGAGACAAAACTAATGTAAAAAAAAAATTAAATAAAAAAATAAAAAAAAATAAAAAAAAAGCACATGCACTCATGATCCTGATGAGCACTGATGCTGGTCGGATTCCTCGAGAGACACACCTGCTCAGCTCCACCCCATCTACAGTACTCATCTGATCCACCTGCGCCAATCAGTATATAACCAGCCTTCAGACTAGGGGTGTGCAAAATAATCGTCATGACGATGCATCGTGATTCTAATTTTCGTGATCTACTGCATCGATTCTTGATGCCAAGTATCGATTATTAATTTTAAAAAATGAATAAATAAAATTGCATGAATGGTTGGCGAACATCAGCCAAAAACAAGTGTAATACAACTTCCAGTCCAGTA